GTGGTAGGTACAAATATATATATATATATATATATATATACACACACATATGCATATATATGTATATATACACATATACATATGTAAATATATATTCTATGTGAATTGTAAAGCAAAATACTATGTAAATATCATGAACTTCCTAGCTGGTTTAATAAATGCATTATGATGTATAACCTTTAAAATACTTGTGGTGGGGGAAAGTCTGTGGCTTCGACCAAAGGTGACAGGTGGTCTCCCATGGTTCCTTCTGCCTGGCCTCAGTAGGTGAGGCAAGAAAGCAGTGGGGAGAGCAGGTGGCCAGGAGCACTCAGGCAGGCGCCAAGGTCCTCCTCAACATCCCTGTCTCCCCACTGTGGGATCCCCATAAAGGGGAGGGTAGGGAGATGCCCTGCAGAGGTATAGCACAGCACATTCACAGGGTTGCAGGCAGAGGTGAGGATCACCAGGTTCCAGTGAAAGCTCACTACAGGGGAGTCAAAACTGGGAGCAACACAAATTTCCATCAGCAGATGGACTCATGAACAATTTGTGGTTCATCCACACAATGGCAAGTGTTGGTTCAACCTCTGACAAGCAATAGCACACATGAAAGCCAGCAGGGTTATGCTGATGGAATGATCTCTGTGAAAAACAAAAAAACCTGCATGCTGAAGAGTCACAGCTTTCCTGCTTCTAGAAAGAGCAGGAACACAAAGTACATTGGCTGCTTGGGATGGGAGGAGAGGAAGTGATTACAGGTGGCCACAGGACAGAGTCTAAGTACTGTACTGTGTTCATCTTCATCACTGTGGTGATGGTTTGGAGAATCTACAAAGACTTTCTGTCATGTGGTTACCACACGCTGCCCTGCCTTGCTCTGTGTCACATTACTCAGTACTGTGCTCTGGCATTAAAGTCACTAGCTAAAAATGAATAATAATTTATGTGCATCAGAAAGCTGCAACCTGTTATGGATCCACCGCCACCCTAGAGGCTATGATTTAAAACCAACATTTCTACCTTTTAAGGAAAATTGTTGTGGGAATTTCTGGAATGCTTCAGTACTCCTTATTTAATTGAAAATGATGAGATCAAACCAGAATGATCAAACCCCTCAGCACCATGCTGCCACGTGCAGTGTCTGCACACGTGCTTTAAACATGAAAATGGCACCAATGCCTAATATCATAGAAGCTTTCCTAGTTTGTTTGTTTTTTTCCCCCTCTTTGTAAATCATACACTTAATCAGGCAAGATGGTGCCTGAGGATAATGTCAGCATTCTGGGCAGAAGATCACAAGGTGGAGTTCAACCTGATCAATGTAGCGACCTAGTAACACACTTGTGGTTCTGAAAAAAAAAAATGTCAGAGGACACAGTTCAAAGTGAAGATGCAGGGTTCAAGACTCAGTACTGCAAAAGTCAAAGAGTAGTTAAATTGGTGATAGAGTAGATAAAAGATACATCGACACTCAGATAAAAATAAGTTAAGTGCCCACTGGTTTATTTAATATGAAGACAAAGATGAGCCATAGAGGAGGGAATCAGGTCGTAGGACCCTAAGACATGACCTCAGTTCCTTGGCCACGTGCCCAAACAGAACGTGGAACCCTTGCTAAGGGGCATCACAATCTAGTACCGGCCGTCTCCCGAGCTCACTGGACTGGAGACGGGCAACAGCGAACGTGCTGAGCTGCTTCTCCACTTCGCGAGGCCGCAGCCTCAGGACCCCAGGCAGAGAAAGTGTCTGGGAAAGATTGAGAAGACGGCTGACTCCATCCAGACGCCGCAGGCCGCACTGCAGCAGCCACACGACTGGCAGAGACACCCCAGGGAAGGTCTCCCCGGGAGTGACCACCAGTGCCCTACCACAATTAAGGCGCTCCAGCGAAGCCTCCCTAAGCCCAAATACCAGGGGCACAGAAACTGGGAGGAGCGCAGGGCAAGTATCACCACGCCCAGAAACACCCAGTAGCTCTGGGAAGGTCTCCCCAGAGCCGGGCACAGAAAACCCAGGGAGTCAAAGTCCATGGGGGGAGACCATAGTCCCAGCCACCGGCCCCCCAGAGACACTGAGAAGCCTGGTGTATATTCACCCAGGCCTGGCCGCCGCTATTGCAAACAACTTGACAGAGAGCCTTGCAAAATTCTGGCCAGTGTGGTCGGAGCAGGCATTTAGGCCGCACTCATTCACCAAACCCTTCCTGCCCGTTTTCCTGGGCAGCCAACCCGTCTATGGTCCCTTCTTCCCTGACACCTCCACCACCCACACCTCTACCCGATCGGTCCTGAGTTTGAGAGGAGACATCATGACAGCATCTTTTGAGAATTCCAGCTCCTTTGAGGGGCTGTGTGATGAAGATAGAGATGTGTGGTGTTTGGACAATCAATAGCTTTTCACCACAGATTGGGTAGAGGAGGAACGAGACTCCTATACTGTGTCACCTCAGGTGGAGTTAGAAGAGGCCATAATGCTCTCTGATCTAAAAACAGATTCTGAGCTCTCAGTTAATGCATGGCCTTGTGTACTAGAACATCCTACAGAGCCTTGTCCAGGAGAGGAGAAATCCATCCTCCACAGAGCTGCGGGCTGCTGCAGAAAGCTGTATTGTGCAAATGGCCACACTTTTCAAGCCAAACACTTCAGCAGGCGGGCTCACTGTGCTGTCTGCACAGACCGTGTAGGGGGCCTTGGCTGCCAGGTATATAAGTGCACCCGCTGTAAGCTCTTGGTTCACAAGAAGTGCCACCAACTTGTCACAATTCAGTGTGGGCAGCATTCTTTACCATCGGAGACCACGATGCCAGTGGATCCATCGTCCATGGCTTCAGACCCTGCACAGCCATTGATTCCACGAAATCTTTCAACTCATGCGGCTTTAGAACAAGTTGATGAAGAGCACGAGGCAGGGAACACTGCAGAAAGTGGCAAAGCTTCACCTGGATTTGGTCTTCAGGACTTTGATTTGCTCAGCATGATTGGCAGAGGAAGTTATGGGAAAGTACTGTTGGTTCAACTGAAAAAATCAGATCATCTGTATGCAATGAAAACAGTGAAAAAAGAGCTTGTCAACACTGATCGGATAAGGACTGAGAAGTGTATTTTGGAGCAGGCATCTAACTGTCCCTTTCTTGTTGGAGTGCATTTTTGCTTCCAGACAGAGAGCAGACTGTTCTTTGTTCTAGACTACGTAAATGGCGGAGATCTACTGTTTCATATGCAGCGACAAAGAATCCTTCATGAACAGCATGCTAGGTTTTACTCTGCAGAGATCGGGTTAGCATTCAACTATCTTCATCAGCGAGGGATACTGTATCGAAATTTGAAACAAGACAATTTATTACTGGACTCAGAAGGGCACATTAAACTTACGGACTACTGCATATGTAAGGAAGGCTTACAGCCAGGAGATACGACCAGCACTCTGTGTGGCACTCCTAATTACCTGGCTCCAGAAATTATAAGAGGGGAAGATTACGGCTTTGCTGTGGACTGGTGGACTCTTGGAGTAATGATGTATGAGATGATGGTTGGAGAGTCTCCATTCCATCTTGTGGAGAGCTCTGACAACCCTGACCAAAACTCCAACCATAATCTCTTGCAAGTCATTTTAGAAAGAAAAATTCACATACCTCGTTGTCTGTCAGTAGAAGCAACAAGTGTCCTGAAGAGCTTTCTGAACCGGGACCCAAAGGAACGACTGGGTTGTTGTCCTCAAAGGGGGTTTGCTGATGTTCAGGAGCATGGGTTTTTTCAAAATGTGGACTGGCACAGGATGGAGCGAAAGCAGGTGGCGCCTCCCTTTAAACCAAATCTTTCTGGGGGATTTGGCTTGGACAACTTTGATCCTCAGTTTACTAATGAACCTGTGCGGCTCACCCCAGTTGATAGTGATATTGTGAGGAAGATTGATGGGTATGAATTTGAAGGTTTTGAGTATATCGATTGTCTTACAATGTGTGAAGAGGAATGGGTCTGATCCTCATTTTTCACCTATGCAATCTATTTATTGCTGTTGAATGCACGGAAAAACTTGTCAGCAGCCTGGATTCAATTAACCATTTCATAGTTGTCTGGAAGCTAATTTTAATTTTTTGGTAGTTATATTTAGATGTAATACTTGCTTCTTATAGTCTATAATAGGGAATATTGAATTTTTTGTTGTTGATAGAGTTGCTTTTTTCATTTGACTTAAATAACAATGAGGGAATTGCTTGGTAACTTGACTTTGTTGAGTGGAGACAGAATGCCTTATTTTTTTCTTACTATTCGTGATGCAGTAAAATAATTTCCCTTTTAAATAGAATGTTTTTCCTATGCTAGTTTCTCTCCAAACTATATTACCTCTGCTTTTGTGGCCTAGTTTATGTAGTCTTCAGGGAAATCAAAAAAATAATATCAATCTTTAATAAATCTGCAGAAAATACATATATTATAGTTCTATCTCCCTACATAAGCCTTTTTTATTTAATAGGATTAACACATGAAATGCATAGTTGAATTCAAGTCAGGGGCAGAGTTCTCCATACTGTTTTTATTAAAATTACTGTTAGGAATTTATGATTTAAAGAGTTGCCAGATATAGCATCCCTCTGTTTTAGTACCATTTTTATACTAAGGACTTGAAAAATAACCATCATCATCTAAATAAGTTATAATGGTACAATCTTAGTGAAATTAATTTTAGGTAATATATGTAGTTTAAATATAGAATGATTAAAAATTCTGTTGGTATTTAATATATTATTTCTTCTTTTAGGTGCCACTTTTCGTTAGAAATGTAACTGTTCCAAAGCTTTTCAAAGCTTTTCCAAAGCATCTATTGTCTTTTCTTGAAATAACTAAGTATGAATGTAATGACAATATCAAAAGAAAATATTTTTGGGCATTCATGTGTTCATTTCTAAGGCATATATGTTTCTCTCAATGCCTGGAACTTCTTTTAAAACAAAAAGCAGTATTTCAACATAAAATTATAGATAATTAGAACATGTGAGAAATATATTTATGATCTTGATTTTAAGCATTGCTCTTTGCCATAGGGAATTTCAGAATAGTCACATTGGGTGTTTGTTTAACATGTTTATTACTGAGCCCACAATAGAATCCTTTTGAGCCTTTGGACCTCATTTTGAGAAAAACTTTCTTCAAGTTATTCTTTTGTCCTCTGATGAAAGAGTAGAAAGTGTATTTATGGCACACTATTTCAAGATGGTATAAGCAGCAATTAACAATGTTGTGAATAATTTTTGAACAAATTATCTGTGAATAACTTTACTAGATATCTTCCTATTCCCCCAACAAATTCTTATCGGTTTCCTACCAATAATATTCAAATGATAAGCATTTTCCTTTTATGAAGTTCTAACCCTTAGTCTGGATGGTCTTTTGCTTTACAAATGTTTAGTAGTAAGATTGATTGTGTATATTTTATGCAGAATTGCATTACAAATATGTTTCTAACTGTCTTCCATTCTTTGCAGGCTTTAATTGTCATCTGTATTCTTTGCACATTATATAGAAGTTCTCTGAAAATACAAAGGGAATGAGGCAGTTTAAGTAAAAATGGTTGGCATTTTGGTGTTCTAATAAATAATTTATTTTGCATAACCCTGGGGTCAGCCCATTTTATGCATATGCAGCCTGGATTAAATTTCAGATACTCTGTTCAGTGCTGGTGATTTAATTTATAAATTTGTTTTGTTTGAATTTGTCATAATGTAACCTGCATCTGTGTACCTTCTTTGTCATATTAAAAACCCTTAAATAAAATATTTAATACTCATCAAAATGTATATCTATACTTGTGTTTATTGCTAGGTACATTTTCTTGCATCAGGTAATCAGTATCCAAAAAGTTTCATTCATTGTTCTCATGTTTTTCTTTATTGTCTTCAAAACACCTTACATAGGTACCCTTAAAAAGGATTATGTAGTTGACTGGATCAATGTTCTAACTCTTAAAATGGAAACACTAAATCTGCTGGAAGATAGAATAAGTAAAACTCATGAAGACACTGTGTAGAAAAACCCTTTATGAACAAAACCCTGATCACAGGGCAAATATTACAAAGAACCATGTGGGTACACATCATACTAAAAAGCTGTTGTACAGATAAAAAGAAAATAACAACAACAAAAAAAACACACACACAACAAACTACCAACAGAGTAAAGAAACAACCCACAACATGGGAAATTTTTTTAAAACCAGATATTCCTCAAACAAAAGACCATTACCTAGCATATATAAAGAACTCCAAAAACTCAGATCCTCCAAATTAAAAGACCCAATAAAAAAATGGGCCTCTGAAATGAATAGACACTTCTCAGATGAAGAAGTACAAATGGCAAATAAACATATGAAAAAATGTTCCATATCACTAGTCATTTGAGAGATGCAAATTAACACTGAGATTCCATCTCACTCCAGAAAGAATGGCTTTTATCAAGAAATCAACCCATAAAAAATGCTTGATGAACTTTGGGGAAAAAGGAGACTTTCTCCCATGTTGGTGGGAGAGTAGACTGGTGCAACCACTGTGGAAATCAGGGTGGAGATTCCTCAAAAAATTAGGACTGAGGTTCCATTTGATCCAGCTATTCTTGGCAACAGCCATTGGTATTTAAACATGTGTGCCTTATTTATGGCACTTAAGTGTATGGCCTTAATATGCTTCCATTTTCCTACACATGACTCTGGTTTCTCATTCTTTATGGTTGAGTAGTATTCCACTTTATAGAAAAACAACATCTTCTTTATCCAGTCTCCAAATGATGGGCAAATTGGGATTGGCATTTTTAAAGCATGTGTTTGTTGGAGTCTGGATTTAGCTCAGTGTCACTGTGCCTGTCTCACAAGTCCAAGGTCCTGATTTGGATCCTCAGTACCAAAAAAAAAAAAAAAAAAAAAAAAAAAAAAGGAGTACGTGTTTGCAGTAAAAAATAGTTATATTCATTTTAGGAAGCTGATATATGCATACAATAAATATATCTTGATCATTGTTGATACACATACCCCACTCTTCTTTACCTCTCCCTCCCTTTGACCCTCTTTCCCATCTCCAAATGGTCTGCCTTCGTGTTTTCTACTATCCCTGCTTTATTCCATTCATTCATTCATTGATTTGTATTTTAAGTTTCTCATATAAGTGAAACTATGACAGATATATTTCACTTAGTATTATGGTCAGAAGTTCTGTCCATTTTCCTGCAAATGATATGAGTTCATTATAGCAGAAGAATATGTCACTGTGTGTCTATTGGATCAGGATCAATTTTGGTAAGTCGTATGTGTCTAGCAATTTGTCTATTTCTTCCAAATTTTCCGATTTATTGGGATAGAAGTTTTTAACATTGTTTGTAATAAACCTCTGAATATCAGTAGCATTTCTTATAATTTTATTGTTTTTATTTCTCATTGTATTGATGAGGGTCTTCTCTGTTAATTGTGGCTAAGGATTTATTGATCTTATTTATTTTTTCAAAGAACCAACTCTGGTTCATTAATCCTTTTTTGTTTTGTCAGTGCCAGATTCATTCATTGCCACTCTCATTTTTGTGAATTATTTTCTCTTATTACTTTAGGGTTTTATTGCTTTTGTTTCCTAAGATCTTGAGATATCCTTAGGTTATTTATTGGCAATCTCTCTGTTTCTCTAACATAGGCACTCATAGCTATGAACTTGTTTTTAAATCTGCTTTTATTGTATCCCACAGATTCTGTTATCATTCTTACATTATCATTTGACTAGAAAATGTTAAATTTCTTCTCTGATTTTTTCCCATGACCCATTGATTTCTCAAGGGTATACTATTCAATTCTCACATGTTTGAATAGTTTCTGTGATTTTTGTTGTGGAAGGAATTGGCAAGTGACATGCACATAGAGATGAGCTGAGTGGAAGTAAAATAAAACATTTATTTTGTCAGAAAATGGTCTATTTCATTCAAAATGGCAGTGATCGACCTCCTACTGGGTTGCAATTGACTCTTTTATAGGTTTTACAGCTATGATCTCATTCAGGTGGTTCCATTTCATTTCCTCAGTTCACATTACCCATGTACAAATTGCCAGGCAGTTCACTTTAACCCAGATGTAACAATTTCTAGTAGCTAGGGAGTTTACCTCAAGATTCATTTATCTATCTATTCTATTGGACAGGAAGTGGGTGTTCAAGGTTAGGGATGAAGCTAGATGACCTACTTCATGGTCAGTGCCTCCAGTGTCTATTAATTTTGAACTCAACAAAGCAGATTGCTGTTAGAGACAGAAGTCATTTTACATTTCCCTAACAGTTTTTAGGTTTTTAGTTTATTTACAGAAGTTCTCTGTACCAATTTCTTTTGCTGTTTGCTATTTTCATTCCATCGTAGTCTGATAAGATAGAGGAGATTATTACAATTCTTTTGTGTTAATGGAGACATGCTTTCAGGACTAAAATATGGTTTATATCAAAGTAAGTTTCGTGGACTTCTGAGAAGCATGAGTATTCAACCGTCATTGGTTGAGGGCTTTTTGTTTGTTTGTTTGTTTTTGTACCAGGGATTGAACTCAGGGCCTTGTACTTGTGAGGCAGGCAGAGGCACCACTGAGCTAAATTCCCAGACTTTAATTTAACCGAGCCATCCCTCTGCTGGGTATCTTTCCAAAAGAATTAAAAGAATCCTATCAGAGCGATATATGCCCACCTATGTTTATAGTGGCACAGTTTGTAATAGCTAAAACTTTGAAACAGACCATTTGCCTGTCAGTTGGAAACTGGATGAAGAAGATCTGGTTTTTCTATAAAATGCAATACTGCTCAGCCATAAAGAAAGAGAAAATAGAGTCATTCCTAGGAAAATGGATACATATTGTGGATATACTCCTAACTGAAATAAATAAGTCACACGTGTAAATACTAAATTGTTTCTCTGGTGTGAATAAACTGTAATAGTACAGAAGATCCTAATGAGATAACTGACAATGTGAAATGGGGAGAAAAGGGCTACAGGTGTAGTGAAAGGGGGAAAGATAGGGGA